ATTTTTAGATAAATTTTTAGGTTACCAATTTTTGTTTTCTGTGTAGCAGTTTAAGTGTTCTTTTGTACTCAAATCAAGACTTTGTGTTCTTTTGTACTCAAAAAAAAAAGTGGTGTTTTGTGTCACTGCAGATTGCTGCAGCAGACAATCCTGAAGATCCTGAGAGAATGGTAATTATCACTGGACCACCAGAGGCTCAGTTCAAGGTAAAAGCCATCATTCAGTCATTTAGGCTCCTTATCTTCAGGGTACAAATACCAGTAGGCAGGACCCAGGGTGCTTTACGTTGATATCTATATTCATCCCTCATTTCTCCTTTACTCATCTGTGTATGTGTGTGGCTGTAGGCACAGGGGAGGATATATGGGAAGTTGAAAGAGGAGAATTTTTTCACTGCTAAGGAAGAAGTGAAGTTGGGGGCACATATAAAAGTGCCTTCGACCGCCGCCGGACGAGTCATCGGGAAGGGTGGCAAAACGGTATGTGTGCATTGTGTACATGTGATTGGATCGACAAAGACGCATGTTAAAACCTTGTGTAAAAACACAAGTCAACAGACATTGTTATTTACACCTGGTAGTAACAAAACACTTCAGATCAGATTTTCAAGGAACTGTCACTGAATATGTTACTTTGTGTGTTCATTTGTACTTTTTCTGCACTTTTTCTACACAAAGTCAGAGAAATTGCTTTCAAATACTTCCAAATTTTAATTTCACCACAAACGGGTTAACACTAGAACTGCCACGGAGGAAATTTTACCTGTGTTTTTAAAACGCACATGAAAGATTTTTAATAAAACATTCAAGTCTCCCAGTCACTGACTTTTACTAAAATTGTGTGATTTACAATCCCTTGTTGTTAAAAACTCAAATAAAAAAGGGGGCATTAATACCTATAAGCGCCAGCGCGGGTCAAATTTACCCGCTATATAATGCCTGTATGTTCACGCTGTCATTTTCGTGCCACTTATGTTTTAACATCATACATTGCTAGGCAACGCCTTTCACTCACTGATTAGTTATCAGTTTCAAATAAAGACAAAATGAGTAAAAGAAGGCGATTTATGAATGCTGAAGAGGTATAAGAAGCACTAAATGCCATGAGCGATGGAGAGTCTGAGGGTGGGGAGATAAGTATAAGCGATCAATATATCATATTTAGATGTTTTATCCTAATGTTACTCATAATTGTTCAAAATTTGGATTAATTATAAAATTTTTGTTTAGCCATTTCTATAGTTTATTGTTCACTTCTGTGTTGCTATTTATTCAAGTCTGCCTGTTTCCTGAAGAAAAAAAATCAGATCTGATGTAGGCTAATGAATAAAACCTTTTTTATTTATTTATTTTATTTTTTTTGATTACCCGAAGTTTATTGGGGGGGTTCTTGAATAATTCAAATTATAAATTATTTAACTAAACAAATTAATAATTAATTAGGTGAAGCTGTGTGCTTGAATTTGTCATCGCATCCTATGCAATGTGCTGAATTATTATTGTTTATAGGCTATTTTAGTCATTTAAATAACATGGGTTATCTTAATATATTGATTAATGACATTGTATTATAATAGCCTATTACACCACCCAAATATGTATTTACTTCCTTCTAATTTTTGTGGTCAGTGCAGGCTTGTTTAGCTTAAAGGTGCTGTAAGTTTTTAAATCTACTAAAGCATAAAAATACCGTAATATGTTTGCAGATATTTAAGAAACATGCTAAGTTAATATACTTGTTTATCTGAAAAACAATGCTACAGTCAGTTATTCTCCTTTGAAAATGTGCATTCCGGGCCGGAATGTCGGTCTCTGTTTTGGTTTGTGAAACCCGCCCACATGCCAGTTTACCCAATTGTATTTCGGCACCCCAGGTTGCCAGTTGGCGGAAAACAGAGCGTATTTCTTTTCATTCATCGTCAAGTGTGCTCGTTCCTGTTGGTGTCGTCAATCTGGCAACCTGCGTGTGCATCAAGTCAGAGGAGGAGGAGCTGGGTGAAAAAAAAACCTCTCAATATTTTTAATTTGGACTGCAATACCTAGTTCAACCACTCTGTGTCAATCCTACATACAGCACCTTTAATATTGACCGTTATGAAAAGTGACTAGTGTAGCCTGCATAAAAAAGCCTTGAGCATAAAACAACAGGACAAAAATATAGTTGATGACTAGACATAATCATTTCATGACTCTAGAAGACAGTAGCATAATACAGTGACATATGTTCTTTAGCCATTCAAAAACAGCTGTCATGTGCGTGGGTAAAATGTACCCGCTGGCGCTTTTAGGTATACAGTGACCCCTGGCGGTTCTAGTGTTAAATAAAATAAGTAATTTTAGTCACTTACATTGACTACATTTAAGTAATTAGTATATATCCGTAGTAGGTTGTTGGGCAACACTTTGCAATCACAAGTGAGAAGTGCTCTGTGATTCCTGTGTTAATTCCAGTTCTAAATGCAATCTGTTTGTGTGACCTCTGACCTCTTACCAACCACAGGTCAATGAGCTGCAGAATCTCACCAGTGCTGAGGTCATTGTACCACGGGACCAGACACCAGATGACAATGATGAAGTGTTTGTTAAGATAATTGGACATTTCTTTGCCAGTCAGGTATGATTTTTACATTCTCCCAGCCTTTAAACTCTTTGTATTTTTTTTTTTTTATAATTTGACACCAGGGTCATCCCAGGTCACCCCTGAAAAAAGTGGTAACTTGCAATTGTTAAAGTTGTTACTGCATGTAGAAAGACATATTTCTACCCGTTTTAACCTGTATAAAGTAGTTTTGATGTCGTCATTTACTCACCCTCATGTCATTCCAAACCATAACACTTTAATTCGTCTTCAAAACACAAATTAAGATATTTTTCATGTTCTCTAATTTTTGTCCATCCATTGAAAGTCCACGCAACCAAATTTAGGTTTTAAGAAGTTCATAAAGACACTGTAAAAGTAATCCATATGAATCAAGCTGAATAATCAAAGTCTTCTCAACAGACTTGAGCTTTCTGACCCTGCATATGCAACTGACACGTTTAAGGCCCAGAAAGGTAGTAAGGACATCATTAAAATAGTCCATCTGACATCAGTGGTTCAACCGTTATGTTACCATAAAGCTACGATAGGCTACACCCATGAACATGCGGTGAAGACACAGAAGAGAAGAATTGTTGAATAAAGTCATTATTTTTGTTTTCTTTGCGCACAAACGGTATTCTTGTAGCTTCATAATATTACGGTTGAACCACTGATGTCACATGGACTATTTTAACGATGTCCTTACTACCTTGAACGTGTCAGTTGCGTTGTTGTCTATAAAGGGTCTGAAAACCCAAGGATTTCATCAAAAATATCTTAATTTGTGTTCCGAAGATGAACGAAGGTCTTACGGGTTTGGAACTACATGAGGGTAATATTTTGAGGGTAGTAATTATTGACAGAATTTTCATTTTGGGGTAAACTATCACTTACCGGAGTGCAGTATGGTAGAAGTATGTGCAGTGTAGGGCTGGGTATCGAGTTCGATACTTTTTAGGCACCGACCGAATTGCCTCGATACCATCGAGTATCGAAAAACGTCTCGTTGTTCGGTACCAAATTTCGATACCTAAGGGATTAATCTCATCAGCGTCAGTGAGCCAATAAGCCTGCAGCACTAACCGGTGTGTTCGACTAGAAGAGGCACGGCGCAGATCGATCAGTGTTTGACATCTGCGAGAGCGATTCGAAAGCGCACGGAGCAGTCTGCTCCCTTAAGCTCTCGTGGCACTGTAATACACCGATCGGTCTGCACAGTCAGGCCGCGTCAAGTCGAACACACCTACTAGTTTACACTGGTTACACTCAAAGATGTGGCACACATGAGGGGCTGTAGTGCGAATGCGTCCCAGCCCCCTTAGATGTAAGACTACAGTTACACTGGTGCGTTTATGTTTTAAAATGAAAACGATCCTCGTCATACTGCCTTTTCCACTGCGTTTCAAGCTTGCTTTCCACTATCTCCGACAAACGACAAGCAACAGACTGGTCATTCAGTCATTCATTTCCAATAGAGAGTAGCGCGGGAACTGCGTGGAGTTCCGATCATATGCAGATGTCCATTCATACTACACGACCAAAAGCGCGTGTTATGTGACCATTCATGCAAACTGTAGCATCATGCTACATAAGACAATAAATAAGATTTATATTCCACTTTTACTCAAAACTCACTTTAAACCACCATCAAGTGTTTGTAATAACTTCCGATTGACGTCTAATGTGTGTTTTGGCCATGTAATGTTGCTGAAATTAAATATGGTATTACCTCTGAGTCAGAGCAGCGATCATGGAAGAGAGAACACAAGCAGACAGCGCTGGAAGCTGCTAATGCTCATGCATTTTAAAACGAACACTAACTAGTGTAAATGTAGCCTAACAGATGTGTAAACTGAAGACTATTTGAGCTTTATTAAAACTATTTGCACTGATTTATTGTGTTGGTTACATTTTGTTCCTTTGTGCAGTGGCTCTGGAGATGTGTCTTTGATTTTGTATAAACATCAACAAGCTGAAAAATAAAAAGGTTTTTTTTTTTTTAGATAATGTAATCTTGTTAAAATTTATTTCATAAAATTGGTATCGGAAAAAGTATCGTTCAGGAACCGGTATCGAAGTCAAGGTATCGGTATCGATATCGAAAAATTTTGACCGATACCCAGCCCTAGTGCAGTGTGGTAGAAACTGGCTTACTTTACAACTACTACTGGTTGTAATTTTCACTGTGTTTTGCTTTTGTGACCAGTAGTTCCTAAGTTCACCTAGAACCACCAGAGCACAAATATTATCCCATGAATATTAGTTATTTTACACTATTGGCAGGTCCTGGATGGTCGCAAAGCAACATTATTATTCATGAGATTTGTCCTTAGTCATAAGTTAGATTCATAAATTCATCTTTTTTTTCCAATCTTGGTATCAGCTTGTTACTACAGTACTGGTACTTTTGACTTTCCTGTTTTAGACTACTCACTCTCTCATTGTGAACATTAACCAGTTTTGAATGAGGCTTGAATGAAAGAGTGGTTTGTGCCAGACTGTGTCCAAACTAAAGGCTTGTTATTCAGGATTACATATGATTTGTTCAGGTTCTTAAAATATTATCTGTTGATGTACATAATGTATTTGCATGTGCGCCCCAGTCACCTTTGGCTACGGTGTGTTTGTTTGTAGACTGCCCAGCGCAAGATAAGGGAGATTGTTCAACAGGTCAAACAGCAAGAGCGGAAACACCAGCAAACGGTGCCAACACCTTCACAACCATCCAAATGATCAGCAGACGCCAGCAAGCAGCAGTTAATGAATGTAGCTCATGCGAGGACAAAACGAAATTCAAGAAATAGACAAAGAGAGAGTGAGACAGAGCGGGAAACGGAGAGAGAGAGAAGCTGATGAAGAGGACCAGCAGTTTAAAACAACCAAAGTACTTAAAGCACAAAAACGTTTGGTCATGCGGATATGAATGAGGATGATCGAGAGCGTTATCAGGTCAGAGATCTTTCATGGACCATGGACCTGATATTTCATATTGAGCTCTTTTTGTTACTGATTAAGCTGATGTGAGGATTTGTGCACTGTGAAGTAGACTGCTGGATGAGGTGAATGCACACTGCAGGTAGATTATATAGGACTTGCAGGTCTAGTTGTGCATCAGATGTACTAACTTATTAGGAGATATAATAAATTGCACAGCAATATGTTAATAATATTCTAAAAACAATTCTATAGGTTTATTCAACAGAATTTTCTTTGGAAACTCATTTCAGGCTATTTAATGTGAGTAATCAGATTTGTTTGACTTTTCTAGTAACTAATTAGTACAGCACGGTAACTAAAAGCATTAAGTGATGTTACAAAGGAACGCACATGTAAAAGGGTGCTTGCTGTGTGCCAGCATTTCACTTCCAGTTCCTCTTTTGCATTGCTGAGTCTGAGCATTTCTCCTCTGCTTGCTGCCCTGTTCTCTTTTCTCTTTTTTTATTATATTGCTTTCTCTTAAATGTTTCCATGTTCCCGACTTATTTGTCATACAAAATAAGAGCTGTCTGTGTGCCAACTGTAAAAAAGAAAAAAAAGTGCAGTCCCTAAAGAGAGGTAGATCTAGATCATCTTACTTTTAGAAACTGGCTTACTTTACAACTACTACTGGTTGTAATTTTCACTGTGTTTTGCTTTTGTGACCAGTAGTTCCTAAGTTCACCTAGAACCACCAGAGCACAAATATTATCCCATGAATATTAGTTATTTTACACTATTGGCAGGTCCTGGATGGTCGCAAAGCAACATTATTATTCATGAGATTTGTCCTTAGTCATAAGTTAGATTCATAAATTCATCTTTTTTTTCCAATCTTGGTATCAGCTTGTTACTACAGTACTGGTACTTTTGACTTTCCTGTTTTAGACTACTCACTCTCTCATTGTGAACATTAACCAGTTTTGAATGAGGCTTGAATGAAAGAGTGGTTTGTGCCAGACTGTGTCCAAACTAAAGGCTTGTTATTCAGGATTACATATGATTTGTTCAGGTTCTTAAAATATTATCTGTTGATGTACATAATGTATTTGCATGTGCGCCCCAGTCACCTTTGGCTACGGTGTGTTTGTTTGTAGACTGCCCAGCGCAAGATAAGGGAGATTGTTCAACAGGTCAAACAGCAAGAGCGGAAACACCAGCAAACGGTGCCAACACCTTCACAACCATCCAAATGATCAGCAGACGCCAGCAAGCAGCAGTTAATGAATGTAGCTCATGCGAGGACAAAACGAAATTCAAGAAATAGACAAAGAGAGAGTGAGACAGAGCGGGAAACGGAGAGAGAAGCTGATGAAGAGGACCAGCAGTTTAAAACAACCAAAGTACTTAAAGCACAAAAACGTTTGGTCATGCGGATATGAATGAGGAGGATCGAGAGCGTTATCAGGTCAGAGATCTTTTTATGACCATGGACCTGATATTTCATATTGAGCTCTTTTTGTTACTGATTAAGCTGATGTGAGGATTTGTGCACTGCGAAGTAGACTGCTGGATGAGGTGAATGCACACTGCAGGTAGATTATATAGGACTTGCAGGTCTAGTTGTGCATCAGATGTACTAACTTATTAGGAGATATAATAAATTGCACAGCAATATGTTAATATTCTAAAAACAATTCTATAGGTTTATTCAACAGAATTTTATTTGGAAACTCATTTCAGGCTATTTAATGTGAGTAATCAGATTTGTTTGACTTTTCTAGTAACTAATTAGTACAGCACGGTAACTAAAAGCATTAAGTGATGTTACAAAGGAACGCACATGTAAAAGGGTGCTTGCTGTGTGCCAGCATTTCACTTCCAGTTCCTCTTTTGCATTGCTGAGTCTGAGCATTTCTCCTCTGCTTGCTGCCCTGTTCTCTTTTCTCTTTTTTTATTATATTGCTTTCTCTTAAATGTTTCCCATGTTCCCGACTTATTTGTCACACAAAATAAGAGCTGTCTGTGTGCCAACTGTAAAAAAAACAAAAAAAACAACAAAGTGCTGTCCCTAAAGAGAGGTAGATCTAGATCATCTTACTTTGGGATTCTAATGTTGATATCCTGTACTCCCCACTTATTACACCTTACACTACTGTTCTAAAGTTTTTGGAAACTCATTTCAGGCTATTTAATGTGAGTAATCAGATTTGTTTGACTTTTCTAGTAACTAATTAGTACAGCACGGTAACTAAAAGCATTAAGTGATGTTACAAAGGAACGCACATGTAAAAGGGTGCTTGCTGTGTGCCAGCATTTCACTTCCAGTTCCTCTTTTGCATTGCTGAGTCTGAGCATTTCTCCTCTGCTTGCTGCCCTGTTCTCTTTTCTCTTTTTTTATTATATTGCTTTCTCTTAAATGTTTCCATGTTCCCGACTTATTTGTCACACAAAATAAGAGCTGTCTGTGTGCCAACTGTAAAAAAGAAAAAAAAGTGCAGTCCCTAAAGAGAGGTAGATCTAGATCATCTTACTTTGGGAATCTAATGTTGAAATCCTGTACTCCCCACTTATTACACCTTACACTACTGTTCTAAAGTTTGTGGTCAGTATGATTTCTTTATTTTTTAAAGAAAACATTTTATATTCTGCAAGGATGCATTACATTTAGTGATGTTACAAAGGAACGCACATGTAAAAGGGTGCTTGCTGTGTGCCAGCATTTCACTTCCAGTTCCTCTTTTGCATTGCTGAGTCTGAGCATTTCTCCTCTGCTTGCTGCCCTGTTCTCTTTTCTCTTTTTTTTATTATATTGCTTTCTCTTAAATGTTTCCATGTTCCCGACTTATTTGTCACACAAAATAAGAGCTGTCTGTGTGCCAACTGTAAAAAAAACAAAAAAAACAACAAAGTGCTGTCCCTAAAGAGAGGTAGATCTAGATCATCTTACTTTGGGATTCTAATGTTGATATCCTGTACTCCCCACTTATTACACCTTACACTACTGTTCTAAAGTTTGTGGTCAGTATGATTTCTTTATTTTTTAAAGAAAACATTTTCTGTTCTGCAAGGATGCATTACATTTATCAAAAGTGACAGTAAAAACATTTATAATGTTGCAAAAGATTTCTATTTTAAAATGTATTTATCGGTTTTAAAACTTTTTTTAACTTTTAAAAGAAGAATCCTGAAAAGAAGTATCATGGTTTCCTCAGACATATGAAGCAGTACTTGATATTTGTTCAACATCGATTATAATAAGAAATGATTCTTGAGCGGCAAATCAGCACATTAGACTGATTTCTGAAGGATCATGAGACACTGAGGACTAGAGTAATTCAGCTTTGCATCACAGGAATGTATTACTTTGTAAAGTATATTCACATAGAAAACAGTTATTTTAAATTATAATATTTCAGAATATTACAGAAGATGAAAAAATTCTTACAAGCCTGAACTTTCTGCAAGGATGCATTACATTTATCAAAAGTGACAGTAAAGACATTTATAATGTTGCAAAAGATTTCTATTTTAAAATGTATTTATCAGTTTTAAAACTTTTTTTTAACTTTTAAAAGAAGAATCCTGAAAAGAAGTATCATGGTTTCCTCAGACATATGAAGCAGTACTTGATATTTTTTCAACATCGATTATAATAAGAAATGATTCTTGAGCGGCAAATCAGCACATTAGACTGATTTCTGAAGGATCATGAGACACTGAGGACTAGAGTAATTCAGCTTTGCATCACAGGAATGTATTACTTTGTAAAGTATATTCACATAGAAAACAGTTATTTTAAATTATAATATTTCAGAATATTACAGAAGATGAAAAAATTCTTACAAGCCTGAACTTTTGAATGGTAGTGTATGCACATGAAAAAGCTGAGTTTCGTGTTCAATCTGCACCTTGTCTGTAGGTCCTGTAACGGGAGCCCATGGGAGTCCTTGAGGTCTTCCTGACACTCGTGAATGTATATGATGCAAATGCCTTCTGCAGATATGTACTTTCTGTGTAGCAAACATAATTTCTCCCCCCCCCCCCCCCTCTGGTTTCACGTGCTGAGATGAGTGCACACAAGTGTGTTTGCATAAGGGAATGTATGCATAGACTGAGACTACATAAATGTCTATAAATGCATTTTTGACAAAAGAGAAGAGCAAAGCCAAGACAAGGTTTTTTTTTTTTTTTAATTGTTTGTAAAGACGTCTCATTTTTTCGTAATATATAAAGGTGATGTGATTGGTGAGGGATGACGTCATTAAGCCTTTTAATGTTGCACATCTGAAAGGCTAATGGAATAAAAAAATTTATGTAATGTGTATATAGGTGACAGTTCAAAAATATTGGTTTTAGTATTTCTTGACTGATCAAATGCAAACAGCCAGCATTGCAGTACTGTACAGTCACAGAGCGTAACATTGATTTAAAGCAACTGATAAAACCATGATTGAGACATGAAAATGATATATTGAAAGTCCACTCAGCTTTGTGTGAACCAGTACAATATACCGTTCTACCTCAAGAACAGGGTACCTCAATCTGATCTTTTCTCCCTTTTGCATATTTTGTATACCTTGTAAAGCTCTCAAACTTAGAGCATTTTTTATTTTTCTAAATAAAAGAACAAGAAGAAAAAAAGGGTTAGCGCAAGGCACCAACTTGGCCTGCTTGTTCTTGCGAAAGAGGTTTCAGAAACTGATTGTTGCTTTATGAACCGTTTGACTCAAATGGGCTCTTGAGGTCAATGCAACTCTTGAGCTGCTGAACGTTTGTGTTGACAGTACTTTGTTTCTTGCAGTTTATGTTTGAACTGAAATAACTGTCTTGACAGATATATAGTGTCTAAGAATACAGCTTAATCCAACCATATGCAGTGTTCTTCAACCTGTATTTAGAACATTATCTTTATGTTACTATGTTACAAATGGCTCTGTAATTTTTCTCTGTTTTGAAGGTCATAGCTGATGAGTTGGCCAATAACAAGTCAGTTTTGAATGTTATTCTAACAGCATATTTGTGAGGTTTTATTATAGGAATAATCTCCGCCAGTTTACTGCTGAATGTTAGCATAACAATATTAGACACAATTGAATTTGATCCTTTCAGTTTGGGTTTCTGTAGTAAAATTTTGCTGTGTCAAATGGGAGGGATGCCCAGCAGTCTCTCTTATATCATTGTCAAAGAAAACGTGTACATGAAACCTAGTCTTTGCCGTATTACTTCTGCAGGCGTATCTGAGTCCGTTTCTCTTCACATTCTACCATGTTCAAAATGTCTTTATTGACCACTTGTACCGTGAATACTTCTGGGTGTTTGATAAGCCTGTCCCTTATCTGATCAACTCTTATAATAATGTCACACAATGTAAAAATGGGTAAACAAACTAATTTCAGATCTGGGCAAAAGGGGGACATATTCCATTGGTATACTATTGGCTCTAGTCAAGTGTGGGTGAGTTGGGGACAATATGACTGTGAGTGAACAATCATGAATACACATCTGTTTTTATGTTTTCTGGAAGCTACCCTTCACATGGATATGAGCAATAAACAGTCTTTAAAATGTTGTTGTTGTTTTCTTCATCTTTGTATCAATATATCGTTTACTTGTGTCATTAGCTTAAAGATTATGTGGAAGCTTATTTCCGCCACAAAAAAAAAAAAAAAGGTAATTTTTGTCTCGCAATTCATATTTTCTTACCGCAATTATAAGTTTATTATCTCACACTTCTGGCTCTTGTTTTTCTCTCAAACGTCAGGATTCTGACTTTTTTTTCCACTTGCAATTTCAAGTCTGAATTTCGAGTAGATCATTTCTACTTTTTATCTCACAGTTCTGACTTATCAGAATTGCAGATTTATGCAATTACTTTTTTTTTTTTTTTATCTCAAACAATGTCTGAACTATGAGATAAAAAGTCACAATTACCTTCATTTGTTTTTATTCCAGGGCAGAAACTGACTTCCACAAGATGCTAAAGTGAACCCTTGATTTCTGTTGGAATATATTAATACACTATATTAATAGAATATCACAATAGTGTCATGTCAGTCTTATGCACACCCCTTCAAGTAAAGTGTTACCCAATATTCTTATCCTGCAGTTATACTTGCATGCATTTTTACACATAATTTGATCAGCATAAAATATGCACCCATAGAACTCTATAGAAATAGTTTGGACAATTTTATTATGCTTTCAGCTGCCAATATGGTATAATTATATCACTCATTTCAGCAATTTTACCATGTATACATCCATTACACATAATTTAACATATAGGTTGTTAAATGGCTTCAAATGTTTTTATTATTGAATTTAAACTGCATGAAACTTTTTAAGTACTACTTAGTTGTGAAAACAGCCGTTATAACTTGGTTATAATAGAATAATAACTTTCAAGCACTCAATCAGCAGTTTTTAATGCAAAAACTAAACCTTAACAACTTATGTACACATTAAGACATTGATTTATTTTTCCATAAATGGCTTAAAACAGGACAGCTACTGTAATGCAGTAATTAAATGTGTAAAGGTTAAGCTGCATCTGAAGCTGAATGGATGAGATATATTTAAAGTGCCATTTTATGCTGTAAATTTAAACACTGCATTAATACTGCCTTACTGTCCAAAACAGGTCATTAGTGGTGTGCGGTTTATTTTTTTGAAGCTAGAAATGAATTATGCACATGTGCAAGTATAACAAAGTAAGTTGTATATGTATGACCAAGTCAGTTATCAATCCCTGAATGTACTGTGCAACTCCAAAAGATTTAGGCCATCATGTAAATGATCAGTGCACAAGTCTATATTTAAGGCATGATACTAACTTGCAAATAAAAGAACACCCTGCTAGGACGCTTGAGGATAATGAATATAATATCTAATAATCTTTAAAAATCACTTTAGTGGTATGCACCTTATTTTTCAGCGCAGAAGTAAGCTATGAATTTGCAAATCCTGATTCATTAGCTGGTATAGGTAATAACAAGAATAAGTGCAGTAACTGAAAAACTATTTGTGCTGCAAACCAGTGTTTATGACTACATTCTGTTGAAATAATATTACAAGAATGACACGGCAAGCCTCGCACATTCAAGTTACAAATGGCTGCATCTCTTTTTAAGTTATAAAGTTGGATACAGTTTAAGTAAAACTAGTACTACTTTTAAATACAAATATTTTTATGCAATAAATAATTTTTTATGTGCAGGTCTTGAGCAGAAAGATTTTGTTACCTTAGAGCTATTTACAATTGGGGGGGGGTTAACTTATCATTAGTTCTATTTTGGTAAAATGTGTAAACACTCAAAAACACATGGAACTTACAGTTATTTACAGTTTCCACAACTAAATAAAGCCATAAACACACAAAGCTACAAACAAACATGGTCACTAAACAACATTTGAAAACATAAATATGTTTTGCTTCAATAAAAAAACGTAAAGGCTAGGCCGTCAGATTAATTTTTTCCTATATAATGAGGCAATGTCCAGTGTTATATATGTAATGTCAGCAATTATAGACATTTGGTAATTCATATTTTCTATTTCTTTCCATGTCAGTTCCACTCTGCATTCAGACATTCATAACCAAATCCTCAGGTGTGACTCCAGACCAATGATCAGTCCCATATTTACAGACTGCAGTCTCCTCTTCTGTGTGTCTTCGGTTCATCTAGTCTTGCGATCATTCAGGACCTTTTGGTGTCCATTGGGTTCCAGGCCATCAAGTTTGAGATGGGCCTGACTATAGCGGCGGATCAGAGCTCCAGGAAGTAGAGCCACACACGCGATCAACAGGAGCTGAAACAGGGTCCTCCAAGAAAAGATGTCGTCCAACGAGTGGATCTCAGACAAGATGGCACCCGTACGGACACAGATAAAATTATAAGGGATTAGACCTAGGAAGAAAATAAGCCTTTAAGATCATAAGGGTTGTTTTTCTCCAGAAGCTGTATTTTTACTTAATAATTGTTTAGATTCTGGCCACCTAAAAACTATAGAAGCTCAAAATGGAATCATTAGGAAAATTTAGAAGAAGAAAAAAACTAGAATTGCAGTGGATTGTAAGTACACCTATAACATAAAAATACATGAATGTATAACTGAAGATGTACTGTAAGCTCACCAATGAGGATGGAGAAAAAGAATATGGGGATGGGGATGTTGAGGATTGGAGAGGTGACATTCAGAAACCAGTTTGGCGTCATGGGAAAGAACCGCAGAAAGAGCAAGAAGAAGAACAAACTACTCCTGTTCTCTTCCACCTAACATAGAGAGATTCATCATGTGCTCATGTTGCATTATGTTTCAACTCCAAAGTATTATAATATGAAAATAATGATTATGATCAAGGTTGCCAAATTGAGCTACTTTTAAACATATATATTAAATATAATTACAAAGTATCCCTTACAAAATATATATACAGTATATACATACTTTGGGATAATTTTATTTGGTAAACTTAAGTTCAAATATATTTTCCAAGTATACAGTATTCTATGTACTAAGTATACTAAAATCAATATAGTAGTATACTGCTTATTTATTCATTTAGCAGACTTTTGAAATAAATTGGTCCACATTTTAGTTTATAAAAGTATACACCTTAGTGTACTTTAAGCATAATAGAAGTCAACTTTGAGTACTGTGAACTACAAGTGAACGTATTCTGTTATAATGCTAGTTTACTAGTTAAATGCATCTATCCCACTAGTTTATAAAAGTACAAGTATACTCTCTCAGTAAATTAACAGAAAGTTTAATAGTTTTTAAGCTGCAACTTTCTTTAAGTGTACTTAACATTTTATAGTTTACATGGAAAGAAATGAAATCAGCCAAATGTTTGTCTGTTTATACAGTGTCCAAAAAGATCAGGTTTAGTTCCACCTATGTACTATTTACTCTAGCTATTCCACCCAAAGCTGACTTGGGTTACACTTTATTTTAAGGTGTCCTTGTCACAGTGTAATTATACATTTAAGTACTGAGTAAGATTAATTAACTACATGTATACTATATGGTTAGGGCTAGGATTGGGGTTACTTGCATGTAATTATGCATAATTTATTGTTATTATAAATAGTAAGTACATGTAAAGTGTAACAAGGGCACCTTAAAACATAAGTCACATAAGAATGAACTTACTTCATAAATCAAGCCAAGTTGAATATTTGAACACTAATACTAAATTATACTTTCTTAAATTAATCTCAAACTAAAGATTAGGCACAAGCATGGGCCTAATATACTTTTCTGTATGCTACATATATGTATAAGCAAAGTATACTTAAGTATACTATTAAGTATACCTATGATAAGTAGATAAACAGTAGACTGAAAGTATGCTATTATATTGTAGGTTAAAAGAAGTATACTAGAAGCACACTTGAATAAACTTTTTTTATATTAAGGCCTGTTCACACTAAGAACAATAACTAACAGCAAGAACTATAACTATATTAGCATCCACACTGAGGCACTAATGTGCTGCAAATACCTTGTTGGCCACTTTAAATGCTTGAGCTCTAAAGCATTAAAAATGGATTCAGGATTGATGATCAGCAAGAACAAAAATAACTAAGTAGTTCTATATTGCTACTCTATATTACACTATATTGTTGTGTTGTTATCGTGATAGTTGTGCTGTGGACTCAGTACAGTATAAACAGACAAAGTGCAAAGTCACACATATATTCACTGACTATTTTTAGAACATTCATTAATGGGAAATCCCTCTATCATGTGCTAAACACCCAGAGGAGACCCACCATTCTCTGCAGCATGGCCACCTTCTCAGGGAAGAGCCTGACGATGTGGCGTTTGCCAAATGTACGGGACAGCAGGTAGCAGTTGGTGGAACCCACAGTAGTCAAAGTGCAGGCGATGAGGAGTCCATGCCATGGCCCAAATAATGCCCCCGCCAGCATGTTCTAGACATGACAAGAAAAATTGACAGTAAAGGCATTTTTATTAGGTCATCAGCTACATACAGTCACATATTATATATAAATAACTGTACTGTTTGTATATATAGTAAGCGTCCCTTGTGAAAAAGAAGTACCATTTCCATGGGAGAACTTGCACAATTGGTGGCTGACTAAATACTTTTTTCCCCACTGTATGTTAAACTAAAATATACTTTAATGTCATGACATGTTGACACTTGTGTCATGTATTTGAATATTTACATTTAGTCATTTAGCAGATGCTTTTATCCAAAGCGACTTACAAATGAGGACAATGGAAGCAATCAATATCAACAAAAGAGCAATGATATGCAAGTGCTATGACAAGTCTCAGTTAGCCTAACGCAGTACACATATAACGTTTTTTTTATTTATTATATAATAACTAAAAAGAAAAATAGATAAAATAGAAAAATAATAGAACAAACTAGTGTTAAAGGCCTTTTTTTTTTGCTTTTTGTTAATTGTATAATAAATAAAAAGGAAACAAATAGGCCTAAAAAAAGAATAGAGAAGCTAGTTATTTTTTTTTTTTTAAAGAAAACAAGCAATAAATAAATAGAGTGCAAGTCTAAAAAGAATTAGAATAGAGAGTGCTATAGATAAAGGGTAAAATAAAGATGGAACAGATGTGTTTTTAGCCATTTCTTGAAGATGGCTAAGGACTCGGATTGAGTTGGGCAGGTCATTCCACCAGGAGGGAACATTTAAATTAAAAGTCCATGAAAGTGATTTTGTGCCTTTTTGGGATGGCACAATAAAGCGATGTTCACTTGCAGAATGCAAGCTTCCAGAGAGCACATAATTTTGAAGTAATGAATTTAGGTAAAGGGGTGCAGAGCCAGTGGTGGTTTTGTAGGCAAACATTAATGCCTTGAATTTTATGCGAGCAGCTATTGGTAGTCAGTGCAAATTGATAAACAGAGGTGTGACGTGCATTCTTTTCGGCTTATAAAAAATTAATCTTGCTGCCGCTTTCTTGATTAATTGTAAAGGCTTGATAGAACTGGCTGGAAGACCTGCCAAGAGAGCATCGCAATAGTCCATTCTGGACAGAACAAGAGCTTTAACAAGGAGTTGTGAAGCATGTTCCCGAAAGAAAGGGCCTGATCTTCCTGATGTTGAATAAAGCAAATCTGCAGGACCGGGTAGTTTTAGCAATGTCGTCTGAGAAAGTTAACTGATCATCAATCACAACTCCAAGGTTTCTGGCTGTTTTTGAAGGAGTTATGGTTGATGTGCCTAACTGGATGGCGAAATTGTGATGAAATTATATGTTTGATGGAACCACAAGCAGTTCTGTCTTGGTAAGGTTGAGTTGAAATGTCTGTTAGACCAGCTGAGATGCGAGCAGCTATCGTCGGATCATCAGGATGGAATGAGAGGTAGAGATGAGTGTCATAGCAAAGCAATAACAGCATAGCAGTGATATGAAAAGCCATGTTTCTGAATGACAGAACCTAGTGATGCCATGTAGACAGAGAAGAGAAGTGGACCAAGAACTGAGCCCTGAGGCACTCCAGTAGTTAGATGTTGGGACTTGGACACCTCACCGCTCCAAGATACCATGAAGGACCTATCTGTACGGTGGCCGAGAGAGCTCAACGCACTGCAACTTAAGAAAACAGATGCAAATTGAAAAAACACCAGCAAATTAAGAAAACATCTTCATCAGTTTGACAACACACGCGCTGCAAATCCTCACAACACATGCAAATGAAGAAACGCGCTGCAAATAGCACGGACCACAACTGAAATGTTTCAAGGGGACCCAAAAAAGTG